ATCGTATATATTTCCTGCCCCAGTCCTGGAATCAGCCATTCCTCTAAGGAACCCTGATTCCTGTGAGTGGAGAATGGTATTTAGAAACCAAGACCTGGCACTAGGTGTGCTCATTGCTACTGGGATGTCATTTCCTGGCTCTCTCGGCAGAGCCAGAAAATAGATGCATGCATTTTAACACAAGCATACACACATCCTTTTCACTTCTGTATGTATCTCTGTGTAAATACATTCAAAATCCATGAGTTCATGCTGATTTCCCCAAGTCCTGCCTAACCAGGTTGGTTCATTCTAGATTTCTTTTCCCTACTCTCCTACTCCTTATTTGTTACTTCTTTCTCCTACAGTGAGAAGCTGGCTCTCGTAATCTGTGATACATTTACTTGTTTGCTTAGTCATAGCACACACATAAAGAGGTCTCCAGATTTTAAACACATATCCCTATGGCAAACAAGTTTAATAATTACAAAATGATGTTGGTGTGTAGTTCTTTTTGTCTTTAGCCTTATAGTAGCCAGTCGAAATACTATTTTCCAAAGTTCCTCTGTTTAATTCTTTCTTCCCCCGTCCCTTTCAATGTGGTTATGTTACTCATTTACAATGCATTTTGGCCCATTCGTTTTGTAGATTTTTGTCCCCCTGTCCGCCGCAATCCCAGTTGACCTGAGTTATTTTTTTAATTTGGGGTATGTAAAACCTTACTGTAGTTCTAAGAGTCAAAGGGATACATAGAAATTGCCCCAAAGAAGTGTTGCCCTTCCTCCTCCCCAGCTCATTCTCCTCTCCTTCTCACTCCTTTCTTACCCCAGTATCTTTAGTTTCGAGTGTATCCTTCCTGCTTTGATCGTGAGAAATTTTAAAATTAGGTCACAGAAGAGATTCTGCCTTGAACAGTCATGGGGAGAAGAGTGGGGCCAGAGAAGGGAGGTCAAACCGCAGGGGCAGAGGGAGGAGTGATGCGGGACCGATGTGGGGAGGGTCCATGCAGGACCACATGCCTTGGTGCCTTTCTTATTCCCACCTGTGGAACTAAGGCTTCAAAGCATGGGCCCTGGAATATTTCAGAACAGCAGGGGAACTGTAGGGGTGCTGGCCAGAGCCTGGAGGTACTTACTTCTCCTGCTATGAGATGTAGGCCCTCTGCCTCTGCCATTCCACAGTGTTTGAGAAATCCTCCAAGAAAAGAAGCCCCAGTGGGGGCTGCCCCAGGAGAGTCGGACCTAGGCAGACCTTCCACTAGTCCTGCACATTTGGGAAGATGACCCTGTCTTGCATCATGAGTTCAGGGGAACATGTGAAGAGGAGGTCTCCCTCTGTGCCTTCTGGGCTCACCCCTCCCCAGCTCCAGGCCTCCCTGTTCTGCTCAGGGTCCCCACTAAGGACTCACCCTTACTGGCTAGGAAGAGGAACTTGGAAATGGGGGCAAGCCTGGCTGCCGACTGTTTCAACATGACCCCACCACGGGTGAGGGCCATTCCCATTCCTGGCAGTGGCTGGAATTTCACAATAGATGCTTCTCTTACCAAGGTGCCCGGGGAAGCCAGGCCTTGCCTGGCGATCTCTGAAAAAAGGCATCATCCTTGGGGAGGGAGGGAGTGCCACCTTCTTTCCCCTTCCTCTCCACCCCAAAGCCAGTAGGGTTCTGCTGACAAGTCACAAGAAACGGCTGATGACTGACTCATCAAACGGAAATGAGGGTGCCAAAGGACCAGGTGGTGAGCCACAATGCTCTGGGTTAACCCTCAGGGCAGCTCAGCTGAGGGTTCCCCCACCTCGTCCTGGTCAGGCTCCCACCTGCCTGGGCTCCCAGGGCCCAGTGCCTTGGACAAGTCTGCCTCTCAGAGCAGCTGAGGGAAAACTCTAAATGGTGTCAGGATGCCATGGGGAGTTGGCATGCCGGGAGATGTGCCCTGTGCCCTGGGGATCCCTGCCCCATCCCTAGAGAAGGCCTTCATCATCTTCAGTGAACTGCTGGGGACACTGAGGCCAGGAGATGGGAGTCTCGGGGGCCTGGAGAAGGGAAGGAGTGTGGGCCAGCAGGTGTTGGAGGGCTGCTGTGAAGGCTGCTCAGAGCAGCCCCAGGACACTGTGTCCTGACCCCCTCAGGACAGGGGTGCAGCGGAGGCAGTGTTGGCTGAAAACGTTGATTTGCATCTTGTGTTCACAGTGGGATGCAATAGGGCAGGATGACTAATGTCTGCCTCGTGACACCCGGGTGTCCCTTGCCGCAGGGACTGGGCGGAGGGGACTCTAAACCCAGTCATTGTGGTTCAGCCCTAGGTCCAGACTAGAGATGGTCTGGTTCAGCGGGTACTGAGCTTCTGTCAGTCCTGATCCCCTTGCTGGAGGGTAGGCAGCTGGTGTAGACGGACATGGACATGGGGGGCTCAAGATTCCTTGTAGCTGGGGAGGTAGGTCTCTTAAAGTAAGACCATGTTATAGCTAATTGAGTCTTCGTTTTGGGAGGTGTGAACATGAGTTGATTTTCTTTTTCTTCTGGTAACTGGCATCTTGACTGTGCTGAGAGCGCCCTATAGCAGCCAGGACCAGGCCCCCTGTATTCATATCCTGGCTTTGCCACCTCTTTGCTGTGTGACCTTGGGCAAGTCGTGTAACTTCTCTGTGCCACAGATGACGCATCTCTCCATCCGCCACCCCAGGGGTGATCCCCCCATGAGCCTCTTACTGCTAACTTTCCCTTCCCCTGCCTCCCCTGCGGGGAGCCCTCCAGGGTCAACTACCAACAAAACAGCCCGGGTCCAGCTTTTGTGGCTAGACCCCACCCCTCACCCTCCCCACAAGGACCTCTCACATCTCCTTACCCGCCCTCCCTGCTTTCCCTCTCAGCCCTGCTGTGGCTCACAGGGAGCCCAAAGCCAGCATGCTTCCCCAGCAGTCACAGGACAACAAAATTGCAGCCCCCCCCCCCCAACCTGGCAGGTGTCTGGTCTGAAGAAGGGATTCTCTTAAAGACAAACCCCACCCCCACCCCCGCCCTTGGCTTTGGGAGAGAGAGGAGAGCCCTCTGGAATGCTTGACAGCATGTCTTCCCAGTCTTCCTGTATTTGTGGGTGCGGGTAGGTGGCTGTGCCCCTTCTGGACGGACCCCTCCCATTGAGGTCCCCTGGGGTGACTGCCCCCCTCCCTGCTGCTGGCTCACCATGACTCTTTAGAACATGAGCAGGTGGGTCACTGAGCACGTTTTGTCCCCTGAGTTGGGTCTTGGCCACAGTCGGGGAGCATGGAAGGAGTCCTCGATACGGTTGTCTGCTTACACCCCAGCTGGCTCTCCCAGCCAGGCGCCCACCCCCGGGCTGCTCCGTCCCCTTCCTGGGGCTCGGCTTCCCCTTCTGCGAAATGAAGGACTTGAGGCAGGGGCGGGCGGTAGAGGGCAGCCTCTGAGCTCCCTCCAAGAACCCACCCTGGGGCTCTTGGGGAAAAACCAGCCTGGGGGGGCAGAGGGTCTTCTGATGCCGTGTGAGCGATCCATGCCCCAGGGTCATCCTTCTGAAGGTACCTGAGCTCCCAGCTCCTGCAACGGATACCAGGAGCTCTGAGTCTGGGGAGGACTAAGCTGGAGAGGGTCCTGTCCTGGGGCTCCACTGCAGGCAGAAGGCTGTGGCCTCGTCACTAGGGTCCATTCCCAGGACGCACACCCATGACAGGCACGCCTGGGGCCCCAAAGCCCGCACCCTGCACCGTCTGGCTCAGTGGCAGCGGACTCATTGCCTGGGCTGCCCAGGGAGGAATCAGGGACATTGGAAGGGCCCAGGGACATCCTTGGGCTGCCGGTGCCACTCATGGAAACAGCCAGCGTGCACAGTCCTGAATCCCCTGTGAGAGGTTTTCTCGAGCTCAGTCTGCCACCTCAGCAGCCGGGAGGTGGGGGGCCTGGCCCTCTGTTCCGGGGTCTCAGTCCTTGGCACGCTCGCCCCTGCACCCAGACTTCTGCACATGCTGCCTCTTTTTTCTGGAATGTTCTTCCTGTCGCTTCTCTCCTTGCTTCCTCGTCCAGCTTCGTGGTTCTTCAGGGAGGCTTCCCTGATGACCTAGCATGGGCTCCCCATCTGGCCTGCCCCTGGAGCCATCTGTCTTCATGGCATCACCTTCTGCAATGACCTCTTTCTTGGTCCGTTAAGCGGTCCAGTGTCTGTGTCTGATGCCAAGGAGCACGGCCCAGTGGGGACCTTGCTGATGTGGGGAGACACTGGACAGCTCACAGAGGGCCCATGTGTCCCCGGTCAGGTGTGCGGTTCCTCCTGGGCTGGGGAAGTGGGAGGATTTGCCTACGTGGGGCCCCCACGAGCCAAGGGTTCCAGTCACGCAGCTGGGTCCCCGTTTGGATTTCGCAGTTTTGCATGTCGTTTGCATGGCCCAGCTCTGAGCTCAGTGCTTCTGTTTGTGGTTTCCTGGTCAGTCCCCAGTTCCACCGAGCTGGACCGTGACCTCCTCGGCTCGTCGCCAGGACCCGGCCTGACAGGCCAGCAACAGGGTCCTCTCAGAAGGGGTGAATGCACGAGAGTGGGAGGGCACCAAAGCCTGTGGCGGGATGGCTTTCGTGGTCCGAGAGCGCACTGGGTTCATCCGCTGTGGCATTCTTGCCAATAGTCCTCTGGGGTTAGTGCCTTGTTAAGCCCATTTTACAGAAAAGGAAACTGAGGTTCGGCAGCCTTCCCCCTGCCCATCCCTGGGGCCTGGGGGGTGGGGCACAGGAAAAGCCCCCTCCCTGCATGATTCTGATTTTTCTCCAGGAGTCCTCTTGCCCACTGGGGTATGGCTCCTCCCGGGCCTTCATGGGGACACTTGCCACTGCCGGGTGGGGCAGGCAGGCCCCCGTCCACCTTGCAGCCTGCATCGCCGAGCCATTGAGCTGCAGCGACTGTAACCTCCGTCCCCCCGGGCTGCGCTCTTGGCGAGGCTGAGGGGGCTCCGCGCTGCTGGTCCACGTGCTTCTCCAGCCTGTGGCTCTCCCGGCTGACGGGCGTCTGTCCCCTGTGCAGGCGATGACTCAGGATGCAGCCAGGGGCCACGACGTGCACGGAGGACCGCATCCAGCATGCCCTGGACCGCTGCCTGCATGGGCTCAGCCTCAGCCGCTGCTCCACCTCCTGGTCAGGTAGGTCTGGTGGGGGGAGGCAGGAGGGTAGAGGGGGCTGGTGGGGCCCAAGAAAGCCCAGGGGGTGTGTGTGTGACAGTGTGCCCTGGAGTGCTTACAGAAGCCGGCGGGTTCTGGTTCTAGAGCCAGACCTCCCATGAGCCGGTGCACAGCACAGCACCTGATGGAGAGTAGCCCCTCAGAACGTGGCAGTCTGTCTGTCTTCCCCCGACGTCTTCCTCCTCCTCCTCCTCCTCCTCCACCTCCTCCTCCTCCTCCTCAGGGCTATCTTGCTTTCTTCACATGCACCAGAAACACAGGTCCTGGAAGAAGCTATAGGTCCTTCTTAGAAGAACCACAGCTGCTGATTCCAAAAGAACCGCTCGGAATTCATAGATGACTCACCCCAGAATTCTGTTGCATTGGTTTCTGGTTCCTTCCAGAGCCCCATCTCCTTTCTGCCTGCAGGACAAGGGGGAATCTCAGCCGAGCTTCAGCGAGCAGGAAGCTTCCACGTCACATGTTTCCCAGGACCCAGGAATGGGCTTATCTGCAGGCAGGGGCGATTGTATCTCTGAAGACTGGCGCCTACTTGTGACCATTTCTCATGCTTCTAAGAGTGTTCATATCCCATATCCTACTTGCCTCTCTGACTACCCCATGAGATAGGTAGCCACTGCTCCTTGAACATACCTTGAACGTTCCTTCCCTGGTTCCTTCCTACCTCAGGACCTTTGCACTTGCTGCCTGGAACTCTTCCCTCGGAATGGCATGTAGCTGGCTCCTTCTCATCCAGGCCTCAGACCAAGTGTCACCTCCTCTGAAAGGTTTTCCTTGGTCTTTGGAATTGCACAGATCTAGATTAAAGCTGTCTCTCACTGGCTGCTGTCACGCGAATGGGTTAACCACTCAGGACCCCACCTGCCTCGCCCATAATGGGAGAGTGGCAGCCACAGGAGCGTCTTCCTGAAGGGGGGAGGGGAGACTCAGGGGGACAGAGTCCATGTATGCAAGAGCCTAGCACCTTATCGGCACACAGTAGGGGTCAGTCAGTGGCCCTTTGCTGCCTACGGTCTGGATGGTACCTAAGTGTAGACAGTGAAGTTGGTGTGGGGGGGCATCATTATGTAAAAGAAGACAAAAATATCTGACTTTGGCCAATTTTACAAAACCCCATGTCTGCATGAAAACGCTGTGAGGGTCTCCCCAAACTTGGAAGGAGCCCAAGCTCCTGAAGGTGCCCACAGCAAAGCTCCCTGCAGCTCACGGCTGGCTCCCCTCGCCTCCCCCCGCTGCGCTGGCCTCCACCGTTTGCACGCACACATATGCACACAGGCCTCCGTATGCACCCCGCTAACTTCCAGGGGTTTACCCTTGCTACCTGCGGGGAAACAGAGCCCAGCACAATAAGGAAGTCTGGGGAAGTTACACAAGGACAGAAGTGTCCACTCTGGCTTTCAAAAGCTACACGGATGTAGCGTCCCCCTTCCTGGGCCCCCCGCCAGGCAGTCCCAGGGTGGGCTCTCCGTCTCTCTCAGAGACTTGGTCTTGCTTTGGAATGGAGCTTGCCATGACTCTTCTCCTCCTCTTTCCAGAACTTTCTGCCTCTGCCCTCCTTCCCTGCACCTTTCAGGTTCCGGCACCCCCTGTAGGGGCCAGAGCCACAGAATCGTGGCCTCTCAAGGGGATCCCAGCACGTTTCTGTGTCTCGTGAGCCCCGCTCTCTGCAAGACCACAGGCGCTCATCTCAATGAGGCACGACGGTGTTGGGTGTTGATCCAGAGTCTTCTCAGACCGTCCCTTTAGCCAGGAGGGCCCCCATGCAGCCCCCCAGGGATTCCCGCTGCTCTCCGGACCTGACCCGAACTCCCACCTCTCTCTCTGCCTTTGCAGCTGGCCTGTGTCTCAACTGCTGGAGCCTGCAGGAGCTGGTCAGCAGGGACCCGGGTCACTTCCTCATCCTCCTGGAGCAGATCCTGCAGAAAACCCGAGAGGTAGGCGCCGGTCGGGGGTCAAAGACGTGAGGGAAAGGACCCCACGGAGTGCCAGTTCTGGGGTGTGCTTGGCCCAGCGTGGGGGCTTGGCAAAGGGCACTGGGAACCCCTGACTTTTCCGTTGCAGCAGTGCTTGGGGATTGAACGTTTCTAGGAGGGGCTTGTGGTCCTTTCAGTAAGAGAATGAGGATTCCTAAAATTCAGGAGCCCGGATTCTGAGTTTAAGCTGCTTCTTTTTTTTTTTTTTTTTTTTTTTTTTTTTTTGGGAGAGAGCAAATACAAGCGGCTTAGGGGTAGGGGGAGAGGCAGAGAGGCAGAAAGAGAATCTCGGGCAGGCTCGCCCAGCACGGAGCCTACTCAGGGCTCGATCTCACAACCCTGAGATCATGACCTGAGCCCAGCTCAACAGTCAGATGCTCCACCGACTGAACCCCCAGGCGCCCCCGACTTTCAGCTGTTTCCTAAGACAGACATTTCTTGCAAGTTTGGGTATTGACTAGAGAGGAGGGAGGAAGTTCTCCCGAATTCCTTTCCTTGGAAAGAGCCAGGAAAGTAGACACAGAAGAGAAAACCTATTAAACAGCGAGACCATATGAAGAGGCTTTTCCGACTAAGAAGAAGGCTCAGCTGGGCTGGGCTTCCAGAACAGCTGGGGATCCGTAAAGAGGGTGCTAGCTCTTCTATAAAGAATTGTCTTCTTAAGTGTTTTTTCTTTCTTTCTTTTTTTTTTAAACATGTGACTTTTTCAGCTGTCCCTGGACTGTCTTGGTTTATCAAAATACCCAAGGCCCCAGTTCTGGTACCACCATTTACGAAGTGCTGTTAGACCCCGACCACAAGCAGGCCAACTCAGAAGAGCTAAACTGCCTTTGGGGTGTTTAGTTTATAAACGCAACTCTCTGCAGCCATGTAGCAATAGGGGAGGGTTTGTAGGAGGGACCAAGGAGTGGGTGTATCAGGCACATGGTTCAGGGTAAAGAGAAGAATTCTCAGTTTGAGCCCAAGGAGTGCAGCACAGAGGGTGGGCCTTTCTCTGCATCTCTGATGTCCACGTGTTCCAGAAGGGGCCGACACCTTTAGCGTGTTGACCGAAGGATTCTAAATCCCGTGCAAATGTACGGTGGCGAGTGGGTCAAAGAATGAGCTGAGGAGTACGTAAACCTTGGAAACAAACATGGAAAGAATGTTGCCTCAGTTACAATAAAATAAATGCAAATTAAAACCATAATGAGACAGTCTTTGCCTAGCAAATCAGCAAAAAAAATTACAGTGAGGAATGCACGGAAGGGTTAGAGTGAAACCCGTGCTTTCGTATGTACGGCATATTAAAATTGGCACAGTCCTTCTAGAGAGTAACTTGGCAGGGCGCTTTGAAGGTCAGAAATATGTTTATAGACTTTGATCCGTTGATCCCACTTCTTGAACTTGAACCTAGAGAAGTAATCCAAATTGTTGGGAAAAGTCATGTGCACAAAGTAACATGCATTGCGAAAGGATTTAAAACAGCAGGAAGATAATCTCAAAGGTCCAAAATGATGCTAATAAATGACAGAGATCTAGCAGAAGAAATACTACACAGGTAATAAAAAGATGGGCATTATCCAAAGGTATAAACAAATTTTAATGTATAAAAAAATGCATCAGTAAGATTTATTAAACGGCTTACTGAAAATTGACTAAAATTCAGAGTGCATTTCCAAGCACATACCACACAGCAGATGGGATTCTAAGTGCATTAAAGATTTACATTTAAGAAAACAAAGCTTCAGAGAAAAGAAGAAAAAATGTATATGAATATTTACACGATGCTTGCATGCCAAAGCAAAAATCCATAAGGGAAGAAAAAACAAACACTTCTAACATCAGGACATCAGGAAAAAAAAAATCTATAAATTAAAAGCTACGCAATAGGGGTGCCTGGGTGGCTCAGTGGGTTGAGCGTCTGCTTTTGGCTCAGGTCATGATCCCAGGGTCCTGGGATTGAGTCCCGTGTTGGGCTCCGCGCTCAGTGGAGAGCCTGCTTCTCCCTCTCCCCTCTGCTCACACTCTCTCTCTTGCTATCTTTCTCTCTCTAGTAAATAAGTAAGATCTTTAAAAAAAAAAAAAGACACAACAAATTTGAAAAAATACAACAAATAAAACGGAAATGCGTAACTAGGAGCGGGGGCGGGGAAGGTGGTCTTAAAGATGATGTAGCAAAACAGAAATTCATTTATAAATAATAATAGGTTAAAAATGAGTAAAAATATACACACACTGATTTACACGTCTGCAGAGGAAAATACAGAGGAAAAAATGGTGTTAGGAGAACTCATTACGACATGAGTGGCGATTGCGTTTGGAGGGGAGATATTGTGAGTGCTTTTTTTTTTTAAACTTGTATTTCCCAAATTATTGCCTTGTGGTTACGTTACTTTTCCCGTAAGAAAGGAAGTAAGAAAGGACAGAATGAGAAAACGCTGCTCTGGTCTGCACCTGTGATGAACCTCACGCTGTCCTCCTGTCCCGTCCGCAGGTCCAAGAGAAGGGCACTTATGACCTTCTTGCACCCTTGGCCCTTCTCTTCTACTCCACTGTCCTCTGCGTAAGTTCCAGTGCGGCAGGCTGGGGGAGACGGGAGAGGCTGGGGAGGGATGGTCTCACTCCTCCAGAGACAAGCCGGGACCTTGAAACAGGTGTCAGCCGTCTGATGGCTTTCCGGGGGGCCACCATGAGAGGCCTCAGGGCTCCGTGCGGATGCCGTGGTGCCTGGCACAGCCGGGCTCCCGTGGGGGCCTGTCGTCCACGGCCCGTTCACGAGCCGTGACACGGATCCTGCTGAGAGGTTTCCGGTCCACCCCGTTCTGTACCCCCAGAGTCGGTTCCCCCGGTGGGGGAGAGCATCCCGTCTTCCCCAGACCGGTGGCATCGAACGACCACACACATGTGGGATCCCATCCACTTCCAAGCGTAAACCTTTGCCTCAAGTGGGGATATGCAAATACAGGTGGTTCAGGCCCTGAAGACCACTCCCCAAATGACCGGGAGCAGTGGCAACATTAGGCTGACCCCTCTGGGTGACAGCTTTCCAGAGAGGCGCTCTCACGTGTTGGGTCTTATGTGGGGTGAAAGCATGGCCCCCCGGGTGCCATCTGGCCCATGTGTAACTCCCTCCCTGCGGATAACTTCCGGTTCTTTCTGCCCCTGTCCCGGGACATACTGTTGCCGGGAACAGAGTGCCTTCTGTGGAACATTCCAGAAAGGAGCAGGGTCTGTTGCGGAGTATCAGGCAGCTCTGTCTCACCCAGACCTCTCTCTCCATCCAGACGCCACACTTCCCACCTGATTCAGATCTCCTTCTGAAAGCAGCCAGGACCTACCACCGCTTCCTGACCTGGCCCGTTCCCTACTGCAGCATCTCCCGGGAGCTGCTCACCTTCATCGATGCTGAGCTCAAGGCCCCAGGTGAGTGCTGGCGTGGCCGGCGTGGGGACTTCGCGGTGCACGCGGCACCCGGTGGCTGACAGCAGCGAGCACAGGCGGCAACGCAAGGGGGAATTCTTAGGGGACGCTGGGCAGGGGTTCAGGGCGAGGAGACCCTGCCGCACGGTCTGTGCCTGGACTCTGGTTTGTCAAAGAGTTTCCGAGACTGCCCGGGTCAGACAGAGAAGCCCACGTAATACTGACTAGAGGCCCCTGCTGGTCCTCTTTGCCTCAGGAGCAAATAGGGAAATGCATGTGTGGACCGATGGCGCTCTGGTTAGGGGAGTGACCGCGGCTAGGGGCGGACAGGTTGATGGTCACCGTGACAGGTGTGGACAAGGGCCTGGTGCCAAGTTTGCACATGTGGGGTCTGAAAAGGAGGAATTCTTGAAAAATGGCAAGTGCTCCAAATAAACACAAAAACGAGGGCCCGGCAAACCGTTCTAGAGCAAGAGAAAACCCAAGGAGGTAACATTTACCGCGAGGTGGCCCGAGAGAGTAATTCATCAGCCTCAAAGGAATAACGTCATGTAAACGTCCTTAGTGATGCCCTTAACACATTTGATAAAAGTCATCATTCACCCCTAACACCCGAAACTCCGGTAATATATAGAAATGTTCTTAAAGGGGTAACAGCCCACAGGGAAATGCTAGAAGCACTAACATTTCAGGCAGCGACCTTCTGCTCTGTGCTTATTGGTGTTTTGCCTATGCAAATAGGCAAAAATAGAATATTTCTTCTTCCGGAGAAAGTAACATTTTAATTACGCCAAGATCAGGCAATTGCTTATCTGTCAGGACTAAGAGACTCACCCACAGAACTAGTCAAGAGAGCGCTAATGACATTCGCCAGTCAGAGAACACAGCGATGGGGGGAAAAACCCAACAATGTATAATAGCAACTAAACATATAAAAGAAGAAAGAGAGATGCGAATCTCTCTTCTATGTTACCTACACAGAGAAACAAGCTTAAGGAGACGTAACCTAAGAGAGGTGTTGCCAGATTGAATCAAGATTTGTTATATGACAAAGTGGCCTGAAACCAGGGAGGAATCAACTCGGTCCTTTGATACATGGCATCAGGACCACTGACAGACCATCAAAACTGAGCTACGGTTCTATCTCAAAAACAAACCAATAAATAAGAGTTCGATCTCAAACATAAAATACACTTCAGGTGGATTGAAGGTCGAAGTGCGGAAAAAGAGACCATGAATGTAACAGAAGAAAAGTAGGTTATAGGAACCACGCAGAGTGGAGAAGAGATACCAAACGGTAACCTCCCCCTGCCACCCGAGGCAAAAATGATCAAAGAGAAGGCTGACAGATTTGGGAAGCATAACATTTAAAGCTTTTCTATAGCTATTCAGTCGTTAAGGATATAGATGCAGAGGCACCGAGGGCAAAAGATATCGAGTCATCTGTTGAGTTAAAAAGCAGGTCCCCAAAATGCTATGTATGTTATAATGCCATTTTTTGTTTTTGTTTTTGTTTTTGTTTTCTCTAAAATTTATATAGGTACCAGACCCTGTTTAGCGCCCACGACACCTAGCTCTCGTCACGCACACTGCACACACACAGCACAGGAACACCAAATCCTGCTCTCCAGCAGTTCCTGGAACCCAAGAGAGCTCAGGAAGGCAGCTTAGTGCGTCGATTGGCGGGGTGTGTGTGTGTGTGTGTGTGTGTGTGTGTGTGTGTGTGTGAGTGGGCGGCTTCCTGCCTTCCTTCCCCAATCATCTGATTTGTCCGCCCCCAAACAGTCAGGCTGGCTGTCTCCTCCCAACCAATCCGCACATCTGTCTCCTCCCAGCCCATCCGTGGATCTGTCTTCTCCCAACCAATCAGCTTCTCCGTCTCCTGCCAATCAATTCATGGGAGCGGGCGCAGGTTAGGGTAGGCGGGCCCCAAAGCCTGCCTGTTCCTAGGACCTCAGCGCATCCTAGAGGCGTGGGTGCCAGAACTTAGAAACTGGGGAGGCCCCGAGGAGAGGTGCTCAGGCACGTGGTGAATACACAGCTCGCCGGTCTAACTTTGCGAGGCGCCCTAAGTGGACAAGCGAGTTCAGGATTAATCTCTTCCATTCCCTTCCTCCCACCTGCTCCCCCAAACCACCAGATCTGCATTGCCTGGGCTTCTTCCTGGGGACCAGAATTCCTTTAAGAAGAAGGCTAAGCTTTTCTTCCCTCCTATAATGTTGATAGAAAGGATTCAAATGCAAATACCCTAGGAGAGCCTTCAGTGGGTAATCACAGATCTAAGTGACTCTTTTTTACTTTGAAATGAGTAGGGGAGAGCGGGGAGATATAGGGCTGGGGGAGACCATCACCTCCCTGCACGCAGGGAGACCATTCCCAATGTCAGGTAGTACCAGCCGGCTCTTGTCCGCTGAACGCACGGTATGCCTTGAGATGTTTGCAGGGGAGGGGGGCATCTGGGCGGGGCTGTCTGCTGGGCAGCCCAGCGAGCGTGGAGGGCGGGCTGTGGAGGGAGAGGGTCTGATGCTGGGACAGCAGGGTTCTACGCCTGGGGAACAAAAGTCAGGCAGAGTAGCAGGCAGAGCTGGAGATGGGATGAGGGTTCTTGGGCTCAGAGCAGACGACCCTGGGAAGTCCAGTCCCTCACTGCGAAGCACCTTCCCCCCGTGACACTGCCTGGGGGACGGTGTGACGCTGCAGATGTCCTGGTGATGGAGGGGAAGGCCAGCACCTGTGTGGAGAGGGTGGCGTCCTGCCTGTGCTGGGAACTCGTCCTCTTCCAGGGAAAGCAGAACCGAAATAGGAAATCGCAGACTCTTCTGCACGTCAGAGAGTCATTTCCAAACAGTAAAAAAAAAAAGGAAACAACAAAAAACCCCTAACATGTAGAAACACAGGGAGCCTTCGTCAAAGACACTGAGCTCATTACCGAGGGAACCCACAAGATGGCAGGGCTGGTTTAAAGGAGGGTATGAGAGCCCAGTGGAAGTTTCTCGATAAACCAGAGTAAGATTGCAGAATTAGATGCGGAATTGGTTAACATCATAGAGGGGGGTAACACCGTAGCCTGTGGGTGCGCTTTTCTACAGGACAAAAATCTCTTCAGTCGTCTCCCCGCTGCCCGCCCCCCCCAGGTTCACCTCTCACTTCTCAGAACCTTGGCCGTGGCCAGTGGTGACTAGCAAATTGGGCTAAATGACCCTTTCCTCTATGATCCTGAAGTGGGATGGTTGGAAAGGGCTGTAGCCAAGCTTTTGTCAGGGCACGTGGGACTGTTTTCCCTTATGGCAGGTCCCCATCCCCCATCCTCCCTGCCGAGGGAGGCAGCGGAGTGAGCTCTCCAAGGAGAAGCCAAGGCTGAATCACTTAGTGGTTCCTGGTACTTGGTATGACGCCGCGGCGGCCTCAAATTCTGGAGCTGTGTCCCCTATGGCAAGACATGTATTTAACTTACAGGAGCTCTCATTCCTCATCTGTAGAATGGGTAGCCTCATGCCCCCTCCCTGTCGGAGCGCTGCGAAGGGCGATGCTGGTGCGCTGGGCAGCCAGAGCCGGAGAGACAGGTCCTGACTGGGGAGCGGGGGAGCCGGGGAGCGGGGGGGAGCCAGGCCCTCCACCCAGGGTGCCTTAGGGAGCCAGTTGCCATGGCGACGAGTGAAACAGTTTATCCTGCTTTGATGTGGCTGGGTGGGCAGAGGAAGTGGGCAGGTTATCAAGCGTTCGGGCCACCCCCTTCTTCCTGGTTCTATGCCAGTAGGCTGGCCCACTGCCTCTGGTCCCCGGCGCCTGGCGCCTACGGCAGGAAACCTCAGGTCAGCGCTGATAGCTCCCGCCCACCACAGCCCTCTCAGCTTCAGCCCGTGTGTTTGTTGGGTATTTACTCCAACCCCCGCGGGGCTGTGTAGACCACAAAACCTGCCGGCAAAGAGTGGATCTGTGATGGTGAGCGGTGACAGGGGGCATCACCCGTGAGCCTCAGGACGGTTTCCAAAGCACACACCGATGGCTTCTCCCCCAGACCACGGCCCTGTGAGCGGAGGGGAAAAGCCATAGTCTTCCCATTTCATGCAGGAGAAAACCGAGACTCAGAGAAGGTTCACGTGTCTTGCCCACACTCTGAAGTCGGGTGTGAGAGAAGGAACACGGGCCTTGGTAGGACCTATGCTTTGTCACTTTCTGGCCGACGCCCTTGGACAAGTTGCAGGAGCTCTCTGTCCAAAGCGGGACTGTCGTTGTTGGGGATGAGGCTGGTGCTGGCCCGGGCGTTGACCACGGTGAAGGGCTGGTCTCCGCCATCCTAGAACACCCCCTGGGGTCGTAGCTTATCCTCGTCTTCCAGAGGTTGAACCCAAAGGCTAGACAGGTGAGCGGCTCACCCCGCTCGCAGAGCTGAGAGGCTCTCCACCCCTCGAACCTATGCCTGTTGGATCCCCAAAAGCCATATCCTTTGACTCCAGAAAACTATTCTCGCATTTGCATAAGGCTTTTTCTGCCCAGAGGCGTAAGCCAGGAGTTGTGTGTGACTGGGAAAACCCAGGACTGTCCCAGCTGCCATTTCGCAAGCTCGTTCCTTCCCCGGGCAATCTCGGCCACTTTTCCTTTCACTTGGTGCCTTTGATCCTTTAACCTTCTGCTGAAGCAGGTACAAACCTAGATTCGGTCACTTTGGCCCCTGAGCTGGTGGCAGGTGAATTCTGAATAATCTTCCATGGCCAGAAGCTTCTCTCGGGACGTTACTGACCTGAGGCATTTGCATTTCATGTTTTTTTTGGGGGGGGGGGGGTTTCTCTGATTATGGAATAGAAGGTGTAGATCCCTTGAAGGAAAGTCAGATGTCACTGACTAGCAGATGGGGTTGCTCCCATACCAAATGCATAGAACCCCCGCCCCGTCCACCCCAAACAACCACCAATTCTCCCCAACACCAACTGAGTGTCCCAAGACCCAGTCCGGTTCTGTCACCAACAACCCACAGTTAACGCAGACCCCACGGGTTAAGAGCTCAGTCCCCTAGACCACCCCCATTTCAGATGCTAGTTGCAAACCCCACTTTGCTAAGAACCCAAGGTGAGGGACGCAGCTGGCAGGAGAAAACATTATAATTGAGATCCTCTCCCTCCCTTTCAAAGTCTTAATTACAACTGGCCAAAAGTGGACTGTCAAAAAAAAACCCAAAAAACAGAACATTTAAAATTTTGAGTATTTGATGTTACAATGTCAATGAAAGAGATTTTTATGATTGAAAAACAGTGGTTAGGAGGGACGCAACATCACTGCTCTGGTGTTCTTGTCAAAGATTCTTGCCTCCCTCCAATCCTGGGATGACATGAAATGCCCCAGATTGAGGAATGTTCTGCCATAACCAATCAGGATTCTTGAGTCAAGGTCATGGATGACTGGGACAGACTGAGGAAGCGTTATAGGTGGAGGAGGCTAAGAAGAAATAAGTCCATGCAGTGTGGGACTCTGGATAGATAGGATCCTGGAACTGAAAGAGAACAGTAAGACCATATATGTATTTCTTGTATTACGGAGTCACAGAAGGAGATGTAGGGAAAAGAGTGGGGAGCCACTATTTCAGAAATCACAGGGTAGGATGAATCAGAAATAAGCTGGCTGCCTATGACAGAAACCCCAGTATAACACTGGTGGAAACTCATAGGAGTTTATTTTTTTCCTTATATTAAAAAAAAAATTCCACTGGAAGGCAGTCCAGGGTTGGCACAGGAATTGCACAAACATTCTAGACCAGGCTTCTCCTTTCTTTCTGCTCCACCATCCTTAGCAGGAAACCTCATCCTCAATGCCCTTTCATGGTCTAATAATGGCTGCAGGAGCTCCGGCCATCGTGACCCTATTCTAGTTAACAGAAAGGAGGAAAGTGGGGGTTACAGAAAGGGGTCTTCCAGAACCTCCACTCAACCCCTGCAAGGCAGGTTGAGAAATGTGACCTGTCGCTCTGTACCCAGGGTCCCTTTGGTGAAGAACGGGGTGGGTGTTGGATCGATGCCCACAGGTGTTTGCTGTGTTCGACCCACGAGGAAGAGTGGCCTGGCAGAGCGGGGACTGGTTCTGTCAGGGTGACCTTGGGCAGGGCAATGAAGGAGCAAGGGTGGCAGATCTCCCTCCAATCCCCCTAGGCCTGGTGGCTCTGCAGAGCTGGAGGCCATCCCATGGACGGAAGGGTCAGGAGAAGACTGCCCAAGTCAAGTCCGCAGGACAGCATTTCACTGACCGGCTTGCAGGGAGCCTGGAGGGGAGCTTGCCTCTGTCATGAATGCAAGTGGCCACCAGGTGGCGTCCCAGGTCCCCAAAGCCGCAGCCCGTTTCAGGGACTTTCCTATCAAAACAGACATTACATGAACTTCTAAACATGTGACAATTACGTCAGAGAAACATCACGCAAAAGGCCCCCAAGTCAAAGCAATTAGGTCCTAAGTGAGAACAGCACAAACTGGTCATTTTTATTTTTTGCAGTTGACCAGACAAAAACCATGGCCTTTCTGTTTGCAGCTGCCTCTGATCCCTGCCAGTCGTGGCATTGCACTTTTTAGAGGGGCTCGCCTTCCTGCTCCCCGCTCACCCATTCCAGGGCAGCCTTGCCCCCTGATAGGGACCCCTGCCTGCCCTCCGAATCCCAGCCCCTGCTTCTGGGGCTCTTGCTGGTGGAGAAGACCAAGTGTGCTTGAATCTCCCTATGGTGGGCACACAAAAGAGTCCTTCCTGTGGACGGTCTGTTCTGCAGCCACGGGCCTGGGTCAGGCTGCAGGAGCAAGGGAGAGACGTTGGCTAGTTTGGTGCCGGGGCAGAGGCAGGGCTCAGCCTGGGAGGGACAGCAGCAGGGAGGCTGAGCTGCCCTGAGAGCCCCTGGGAAGTTGGGCAGAGGTGCGGAGGGCCAAAGGAGACTGAGCTGGGGGCCTGCACACCCTTGGGGGAGCCCCTGCACCTTCAAGAGGGCCAGGGAACCCCTGGGCCGCCGCAGACCAGAACCTTGAAGCCTCTGGTGCCGCACCCGCTGTCCGTGAGGAGCTGAGCTGTGTGGGACCTGAGCATCATCCCAGGGGCGCGGGGGGAGACTCGCAGGCTGGTGCGGGGCCACTGCAAGGCCATGACTACTGGAGAAGCAGGTAAACCGACCAACTCTCCTTTGTTCTGGCTACAGGAATCACCTACCAGCGGCTGGTGAGGGCCGAGCAGGGCCTGCCCATTAGAAGTCACCGCAGCTCTACTGTGTGAGTGTTCTGGGGCGGGGTTCCCCATCCCCACCCCACACCATCCTCCCTCCCGGCCCCACGCATCCGGCTTTTGCTCCATCCCTGCACCACCTTCCCCTCCGACCCCCCAGCCCCCGGGAAACAGTCTTCCAGAGGACCAGGAACGCCTGGGAATCATCGGTGATTCTTTGTACATAAGGTTGTTTCTCTGGGCTGAGGCGTTTTCCTCCCAGTTCTAAATGGCTCCGAGGCTTTAAAAAATGAAACAAACGTTAAAAGCCACCTGCACAGATCATGCCAGGTCCCAGGCACACATGACCTTGCTTTGTCCCCACTTTTCAGATGGGGAAACTGGAGGTCAGAGAGGCCAAGTGTGACTTCCTGAAGGTCACACAGCTCGTAAACGTCTGAGCTGGGATTGAAGCCTCAGTCTTACTCAAAGGCCCGTGTGCTTTCTACAGCGTCTTTCTGCCTGTTACTAAAACAGCATTTTCCAAACCTTTTTTGATGAGGACCTACAGTAAAAAAAAAAAATGCATTTTATTTTATTTTAATTTTTTTTTAAGTAATCTCTTTGTGCAAGTTCTATGGGGCTCGAACTCATGACCCTGAGACCAAGAGTGACATGCTCCACCAATGGAGCCAGGCAGGTGCCCCTAAACAATGCATTTTATATGGAAGTCTAATGTATATACACACACACACACATGCATGTGCACACAGAACTGAAATGAGCTTTAGGTGAGAACACGCGTGCAGAGAAAGCGTGCAAGGGAAGGGCATATGCCCGGCTGGTCGCGTCCTGCCCTCACATGTGTGTGGAAGGAGTGAGCGAGCACTCAGTGAAGGAGAGAGGCTCAGGCAGGGACAGCTTGTGCAAGCCTGTCCCCTCTTCCTGACCAATGGAGGGGTCAGCACTAGTTCCCCCCCCCGCCGAAGGATGGGGACTCTGACAGAGCCCAGTCCTGTTGGTGGGAAGCGGGAGGGCCCCGACCCGGGGCAGCCATCCGCAGAGACGGGCGGGAAGGCCACCTTCACGCTCCTTCTCTGCACGGAGCCTGTGAGAGAGAGAGGGGGGAACAGTTCGGAGCCTGTGAGAGAGAGAGGGGAACAGTTCTAGCAGCTCCCACTGAAGCCTCTACAGCAGGGCTTTTGTGCTGTCTCGAGCGCTTCGGGAAAACACAGCCATGGAGGGCGGATGACGGAGGGCGAAGTGAGAACAGAGGTGTGTGCTTAACCGTTAGCTGGGCCATCCACACCTTGGGGGGTTCCCGATTCTGTTCACATTTGGTCTGTCTGAAGTTTTCCATGATGAACAGAATGTCAAGGCTGGCCCAGAGAGGGAGCGCAGGGTCCGGGGAGAAGGCGGGCAGGGCACAAACTCTGCTCCCAGCCTCGTGCAAGCTAGCTAGGACGAGTTAAGAAAGGGGGGTCCCCTGTGAGCCGCGGACTCACAGGCAGCCTTGACCCTAGCCTGAACTTGCAGGGCAGCTTGCACGCTGGCGTGTGGCTGCCCCGTTCCCTCCCCCCTGCAAAATGAGCCCCTGGCCCCAAGTCCCCTCCCCTAAGACGGCCCCAAGTCCCCTTGAGGCCTCCTTCATCTGTCCCGACGTCCTGTCAGAAAGATGCTGATATAAAAATTAAGGTGAAATTTCTTCTGGAAAAATGAAGTCTCACGCTCAGAAGGTCCCTGGAAAACACTCGAGTAGACTGGAGGCTGCGCTCTTCCAACTGGGAGCCCTGAGCCAGCCCGCTGCCTCTCCCCTGGGCTTGGCCTCTACCTGTGGAGGCCCCCGTGGGGCTGAACAGCTCCTCCGGGTGCCCCATGTGAGTGAGGGGGGCGGCGGCGCCGTTCCTGCCCCGACCCCAGAGCCCGCCCTCTGTGTCCCCAGCACTGTGCTGTTGCTGAACCCAGTGGAGGTACAAGCGGAGTTCCTCGCTGTGGCCAACAAGTTGAGCACGCCCGGGCACTCGCCCCACAGCGCCTACACCACCCTGCTCCTGCACGCCTTCCAGGCCACCTTCGGGGCCCACTGCGACCTCCTGGGGCTGCACGGCCAGCTGCAGGTACGTGCTAGGGGCCTTAGGGCCTTAGCATCACCCTGACTGACGTGGCTGGGCACTGGCTGGAGGGCTGGCTGTGCTGAGAGATTTCTATGACGCTGGGTCCCCACAGAGGTGCCAACAGAGGTGGCTGGCAGCCCAGGCAGGGGACTGGGCGTGAGCTTCCGAGGGCTGGGTAGGCTGGGAACAGGCTGTAGAGGGAAGCTAGGAGACCTGACTTCTAGTCCTAGCACTGTGACGGGTTAGCCGTGTGGCCCTGGACAGTGTCCTTCCCTCTCTGGGCCTTTCTCTCATGACCACTTCCTGAGAAGGGGACCCCGGGGAGGTGGGTGCCAAGGCTGGGGAGGAAAGGGGCCACAGCCGCCATCGGAGAGAACCTAGGGGCTTGAGGAGTCAGGCAGCTGAGCCCTGGTTTGGGAGCAGGCCTGTCTTCTCCTGCGGTTTCAGTCCAAGAGCCTGGCCGAGCTCGAAGACATCTTCACGGAGACTGCGGAGGCCCAGGAGCTAGCTTCCGGCATCGGGGACGCAGCCGAGGCCCGGCAGTGGCTCCGGGCCAGGCTGCAGGCAGTGGGAGAGAAAGCTGGCTTCCCCCGCGTCTTAGGTGAGGCTCTTGGGAGAGCGCGGCACGTTTTTTCCCAGGGGGGTGAGCAGCCCCAGGGACCAGTGGCTCTGCCCCACACAGCCTGCGGGGGACCCAGCCGTTGTCCGGGCACTCCACCACCCTGAGGTGGGAAAGAGAGCTGGCTGGCCTCGGCCCAGCCCACCGTGCAGCTGGCGCTAGTCTCTTCTCTTCCACGAGCCCCTTGCAGCCCTCACCTCCTGTCCCCTCCTCTTGCAGACACTGCCACACCTGGTCAGCTCCGGACCATCCCCATCCCTGTCGCCAGGTGTCACACGTACAGCTGGAACCAGGACAGCTTTGGTGAGCGGCCCAGCTGACGCCCTCGAGGTGCCCACCCCCCAACAACCCCCTTCCCAGTTGCTTCCCGTCCTGCCACCTGCCAAGGGCCCAGCTGCCCAGGCAGGCTCTAAGCAGAACAAGGGCTGCGGCTCACAACTCACCCTCCTCCCGCCCTCTCCTCCTCCTCCTCCTCCTCCTCCTCCTCCTCCTCCTCCTCCAGCCGGTCTGTGTGAGCCTGTGGTCCCTCCCGAGGGCACGCAAGAGGGGTTTCAAGGACCCAGACACCCAAACAGTGCCTCCTCTGGCTTCCCCGCAGACATCCTGCAGGAAATCCTGCTCAAGGAACAGGAGCTGCTGCAGCCAGGGATCCTGGGGGATGATGAGCAGGAGGAGGAGGAGGAGGAAGAGGAGGAGGAGGAGGACTTGGAAACGGACGGGCACAGTGCCCAGAGGGACTCCCTGCTCTCCACCAGTTCCGCAGTCTTCCACGACTCCACCCTGTCCCTTGCCTCGTCCCAGGCCTCAGGGCCCACCCTGTCCCGCCAGCTGCTGACCTCCTTCGTCTCGGGCCTCTCGGACGCCATGGACAGCGGCTACGTGGAGGACAGCGAGGAGAGCTGCTCCGAACGGCCCAAGAGGCCGGACAGCCAGGAGCGCCGCGGCCACCGCAGGCCCGGGCACAAGTTCAACCGGATCTATAAACTCTTCAAGAGCACCGGCCAGCTGGTGCTGCGGAGGGACTCCCGGGGCCTGGAGGGGGGCTCGGACTCGGGCCTGCCCCTGCGGCGGGCGGGGAGCCTCTGCAGCCCCCTGGACGGCCCGGCGCCGCCCCCCGCGCGGGCCCAGCGCTCCCGCTCGCTGCCGCAGCCCAAGCTCAGCGCGCAGCTGCCCAGCTGGCTCCTGGCCCCTGCCTCGCGCCACCAGCGCCGCCGCCCCTTTCTGAGCGGGGACGAGGACCCCAAGGCGTCCACGCTCCGCGTCGTGGTCTTCGGCTCGGATCGCATTTCGGGGAAGGTGGCTCGGGCCTACAGCAACCTGCGGTAGGAGCCGGACCTGGGGTTGCGGGGTAGGGGCGGGGCTTGCCCTGCCCTGGGTAGGGGTGGTGGCGGGCTGAGGTCTGAGCGGGACGGCTCTCTCCTGGCCTCCTCCTCACCAGGCAGCTGGAGAACAACCGCCCGCTCCTCACACGGTTCTTCAAGCTCCAGTTCTTCTACGTTCCCGTGAAGCGAAGCCATGGGGCCAGCGCCTGCCCCACCCCTGCCAGCCAGACGCCCCCACTCCCCACAGACTCCCCGAGGCACCCCAGCCCTGCGGTAGGTCCCGACCGCAGCGGAGAGGGGGGCGTCCTCACCTGGTTGAAGCCCTTCCTGGACTTGGGGTTCTGTCCCACGTGCCGTGGGAGCGCAGAGCGGGCCCCGGAGGGCCACCTGAAGGGGTGAGGAGTCGCCGCCGGGAGCAGTCACCGCCGCTAGGGGGCGCCTCCTCCTGCTGGAGCCTCGCTGGGGGGCGGGGGCAGCCCCTGCCCTGCACGTGGCGGTGGCACTTTGCTGCGTGACACTGGCTAAAACTTCTCAGACTCTTCTCAGGGCGGGGAGGGGCCCTGACGGGGGCTGCAGATGCCGTCGGGGGCGGTGGGCTGGAATGACTCCCGCCCCCTTGTCCCAGGAGCTGGAGAGCACCAATGACATCTCCCACTACCTCGGCATGCTCGACCCCTGGTATGAGCGCAACGTGCTGGGCCTCATGCACCTGCCCCCCGAAGTCCTGTGCCAGGTAAGTGGCCCCCGTGGGGCGCGAGGGGGCACCGCTCAGAGGCCCTGGTTTTGGGGGGATCCGGCGTGAGGCCTCCAGGGCGGCCCAGGGTGAGAAGCGCGACTGAACCCAAACTGAGGGCAGTTGAGGGAAGTGACAGGGCGGGTCCCAGAAGGGTCCTGGGGACCTTCAGCTTCAGCCTCCTGCCTCATCTCCCGGCTTTGTCCAGCTCCCTGGGGGGCTCTGGTGTCAGGTGAGGGGGCTCTGGAGGCTGGGCTGTGGGCCGTCCCCCGGCCATTCTGTGTCCCTTTGATCACACCTTGGCTTCCCTGGTCCCGTCTGCCTCTATGCCTGTATGGATGCGTGTGTCCGTCTCTCTTCCCCTCGGTCCCCTTGCTCCCTTGCTTGCCCTGACCGGGCCACACACACACACACACACCCCCGCCCCCGCAGCAGTCTCTGAAAGCGGAATCCCGGCCCCTGGAGGGCTCCTCGGCCCAGCTGCCCATCCTGGCGGACATGCTGCTCTATTACTGTCGCTTCGCTGCCCGGCCGGTACTGCTGCAGGTCTACCAGACAGAGGTAAGGACACCCCAGCTGCAGGCAACCCCCCCACCCTGACCCCTGCAGCCAACCACCTCACGCTGCAGCAGCCCCTGGGTGTGGGGGCATCTGGGAGGACCCCACTGATGCCCGCCCGTGCCCTCTGCAGCTGACCTTCATCACGGGGGAGAAGATGACCGAGATCTTCATCCACTCCCTGGAGCTGGGTCACTCTGCCGCCATGCGTGCCATCAAGGCTTCGGGTGGGTGATCCTGAGCCCTGGGGGACATGGGCCCCGGGAGGTAGGGGCCTTGCAGTCTGGGAGGGCTACTGGAAACAAGAGGGAGTGAAGGTCTGTCCGTGTGCCACAGGTCCTGGCAGCAAGCGTCTGGGCATCGATGGAGACCGCGAGGCCGTCCCTCTAACACTACAGATTATTTATAGCAAGGTGAGGCCACTGCCGGGCTGGGTTCCTGGGGGGCCTGCTCCTGACCCATCCTCACCCAGAGTCAGCCCTCCTACATCCTCAGGCCCCCGTCTTTCAGCTGGGAGGCCGCAGCCGTCTCCCCTGGACAGAAGGGGAGGGAGTGGACATCCTTCTCTCCTTAGGTCTCCAAAGCCACCCCCCCGACACAATGAATGTGCTCTCCCCCAAACCGCATGTACTCAGCAGATCCCATGAAGTGTTAAGGCCTGGCTGCGGGGCTGAGGATGAGGGGGCCAGGGTGCGGGGTCCAGACGCACAGCGAGGGAGAGCCCAGCGACCACAGGCTGGCATGCCTGGCTGGGTGCGTGGGAGCTGTCGGAAGGGAGCAAGAGGACTTGGGGGCAGGGGTGGGCCTGGGTGCTGTGAGCTCTTGTGCCTCTGATCCCTGGACCAGGCCAGCCACCTAACACTCCTCGCTGGAGCCATTGAGGTGCATATGGGGGTCAGGGATCAGGAGTTGGGGGTCTCTTGGTGCCCAAGCGAGCAGGTGAGAGCTTCCCCGGAGGAGCGCTGTCTCGCTGTGGTTGGGGGTGCCGGGGGCCTCTGGCTGAGGAGGGCCTGGCTTGGCTGCGTTTCCAGGGGGCCATCAGTGGCCGAAGCCGCTGGAGTAACATGGAGAAGGTGTGCACCTCCGTTAATCTCAGCAAGGCCTGCCGGAAGCAGGAGGAGCTAGGTGAGTGGCGGCGGGGCGTGCGTGGCGGGGCGCGGTCTGCAGCGGGGAGGGTCCCTGAGCCTGGCCTGAGCCGTCCCTGCCCCTCAGACTCCAGCATGGAGGCCCTGACGCTAAACCTGACGGAGGTGGTGAAAAGGCAGAACCCCAAGTCCAAGAAGGGCTTCAACCAGGTGAGGATGCCCCCGCTTTCCGCTGCGGTGCCTTCGGGAGACCCTGGCACGGGCGGGTGCGGGGTGCGCCCACGGTCAGGAGTTCTGTGCGCGGATGTGTCTCACCGTGGGGCCCTGGGCCTTCTCCTGGGGGGCACTCGTTTCTCCCTGCCTCGGGGAGGGACAGGGCCGGAGAGGAGGCGGGGCCGCAGGGAGGCTGCTGGACCCTGGCCCAGGCTAGCTGTCAGCCCCGCAAAGCCGCTGCGGGGGTGGCCACTGCCGGCGGTTCGGGAGTGGCGATTGGGGGCTTACGGGGGCTTTGCTTCCAGATTAGCACGTCACAGATCAAAGTGGACAAGGTGCAGATCATTGGCTCCAACTGCTGCCCCTTCGCCGTGTGCCTGGACCAGGATGAGAGGAAGATCCTGCAGAGTGTGGTCCGGTAGGAAGGGGGGAGCCCAGGGAAGGGGCGTAGGGCCCTGGAAGGAGCTGCAGGGATGAGGTGGGTGGGGAGCCTGCCCTTACTCCCGCCTGTTCCACAGGTGTGAGGTCTCCCCGTGCTACAAGCCGGAGAAGAGCAGCCTCCACGCCCAGCCCCAGCAGTCCCCTGACCTGCCGTCCCAGGCTGCGCCGGACCTCTGCTCCCTCCTCTGCCTGCCCATCATGACCTTCAGCGGAGCTCTGCCCTAGTGGGGCCCTCACAACCCAGGACAGGAAGCCCCGAGCAGGCAGCCTCCACGGAGGCCCTCCCCACGCGGTGGCCGGTCTTGCTCCCTGTGGGGAACTGGATGGCCCTCTGTGGGATCAGACCCTACTGTGGGCCCGGACAGCGGGCAGCGGGTTGATGGTTTCTGGGCCCTCTGGGCTGTGGCCAGCTACACTGACCCTCAGATTCCTCACGGTAGAGAGGCGGGGGATGGATGAGCTGACTCCAGAGGCCCTGGCCACTTGTGTGGTCTAGGACCCTTTCTAGAAAGATCTGAGGTTCTGGTGCTCCATGGTGTGGTTAGGCCTCCTCTCCCAACCCTTGGCTGGGCCCCCCTCCTTAGTTTGTCAAAGTCTTGGGAACGCTTTGTATCTGGGGTTCAGTCCCCTCTATTCTGGGGTTCAGGTGGTAGAAACAAGGCTAGGAGTTTCTTCCCAGACCTTCAGTAGCACCCCTCCCCCCATGTCTCTCTCTGTCTCAGAAATTCCCTGGGTCTTCTGGGAAAACAGCACTAATGCTTTACCTGTCTACACTCAGCCCCGGGAGCCCCTTTCTGGCTCGGAGAGCCTTGGGTTCAACAGCAGTCCGGTTACCTTTCTAGCTCAGTGACCAGAAGGAAGGGACTTAGCTTCTCCGAGCCTCCATGTCTTCAGCACTAAGACCTTCAGGGGTTGAAAAGAAATTGCCTGCTAAGTGCCTGGCCCAGTGGCCCGCTCATGGCCAGTGCTCAGTACGGATGAGCGGCCTCACCCTTAAGGGCCAAGTACCCCCCCCCCCCCCCCCCCCACCTGGCACTGGGACACCCTCATGGGCTCTGGGATGCCCTTCACTCCACCTTGAGGCAGGACTGAGACTGCGGGGGTGAGGAGTGGTTAGGTTCACCTTCCGAAGGAGGAATGGCCTTGGCGAGGGTAAGAGGATGGTTGCACGGGAGCCCCCCAGTCCTCGCTGACGTCTCTCCTGGGTTGGGCCCCATGACCCCCGCTCCCACGTCAGGCCTTAGGCTGGTGTGTATATGGAGGCTTCCAGCCCCAAAATCCACGGACCCCATTCTGGCACCTGGGCGGGATCCCAGAGGGGGCGAGGGAGAGCCTGGCCTCCAGGCGCTTTGTGCCTGGCTGGGGGGAATGGGTCACGGGACACGAGAGCCAAAAACAAAGTTGTCGGGTCTGAGTGGTTTGGAAGCTGGAAGCAAATGTGGGCTAGGGCGGTAGGGGGGCAGGCAGGGCCGAGGACGGGATTTGGATGGGACAGGTGTGGAGAAAGTAGCCATGGGAGAGGACCGCATCCCTCCCAGAGACCCTCCATCCCCTCCTTCTCCTGCTTCACCTGGCTCCAAAGGTTCAGGCTTACAGGAGCCCCCAAACCCCAGCCCAGACTACTCACCACCAGAGAGCAGTGACTGGAGCCGGCTCTGCCCTGCGTCACCGCCCCCTGCCCCGTCCCCACCACCCATACTTGCTCTGGGCTCCGAGAGCGGCCAGCCATAGACTTTCCAAAGTATTCTGTTGTGTGAACAGGTTACTACAGGATAAACCAATATCCATGAATAAATGAATAGAATTTAATATTATTTTCAAAAAAAACTTGATTCTTCTCCTATTTCTTAAGCCCCTCCCCTGGTTATTTTGCTGCATGGCGAGTAACTGCTAGTTGCTTCGTTAACATAAACCCGTTCACAAGCAGGAGCAGCAGCAGTCAGATTCTTGGGGGATTGTTCTGTTTGTTTTTTTTGTAAATTTTCCTCTCTATGGGAAATGTATTTGTGCTGGGATTTTCTCTGATGCTACTCCACCGAAGCCTCATCCCCTTGCCGAGAGGAAGGGAAGGGAGCTCATTGCTGGCCCTCTGGACGGGGGCTGTCCTTAGACTTGGCTCACAGAGAGGGAGAGAAAAGCCGGTGAAGATGGGAAGGATGTTGGAACAGACCTGTGACTTGGGAGAAGCAGGTCAACATCGGGAAGGCAGGAAAGCAGGTCAGCATCCTAGCGTGCCTAGGAGTTCAGCTTTGAACTAGGCATGGAGGAAGAAGGAGCCGTGAGATATGCTCTCTGCACCAGCTAGCAATTGCCAACAATAAAGCACACCAAACACCCAGTGGGTGAAAACCGTGATCCTTACTCTTGCTTGTGTGTCTACAGGACCTCCAGGGATCACTCCATCTAGGTGGGGCTCAGAGCAGCTTGGCTCCAAGCTGCAGGTTAGGTTCAGGCCGGCCCCGTGGGTCTCACAGGCACCTCGGGCCGCCATGGTAGCATGAGAGGGGCCTGCTAGGGCCTGGAACTGGCGGGGTGCCTCTTCCGTCAAAATTCCACTGACCCAAATCAAGGAAGCACAACGACCCGTAGATTTAATAAACTCAGCAAATCTCACACAGGAGAAAAACAAAATCATACTTTTACTTCTCTTGGTCTTCCCAAAATCCCATAGCCACAGTCTGATCATGAGGAAAGTATCAGACAAATCCAGACTGTAGGACATTCTATAAGATAATCTAACTAGTACTCCTCCAGGAAGTCAGTGGCATGAAAAACAAGGAAGGGCTGAGAAACTCAAAAGCCAAGGAGATAGGAAACCTGAAAACTAAATGCAACGTTGTACCCTGGATTGGATCCTAAAACTGAAAGAAGATATTAATGGAAAAACTGGTGAAATCCCTATGAAGCCTGGAGTTTAATTTTTTAACACACACACACACCTCCATTGTAAGACTCCTGGGAGAGAAAAAGATAATGAGAAAATCTTAAAGACAGCCAAAGGGGGGATAAATATATATATATATATTTTTTACCTTCAAAAATCAATAATTAAACTGAGACCTCCCTTCTCAACAGAAACATTGGAAGTCAGAAAACAATGAAATGATATCTTTTTTAAAATTTTTATTTTTTATAAACATATAATGTATTATTAGCCCCAGGGGTACAGGTCTGTGAATCGCCAGGTTTACACACTTCACAGCACTCACCATAGCACATACCCTCCCCAATGTCCATAACCCCACCCCCCTTCTCCCAACCTCCCTCCCCCCAGCAACCCTCAGTTTGTTTCGTGAGATTAAGAGTCACTTATGGTTTGTCTCCCTCCCGATCCCATCTTGTTTCATTTATTCTTCTCCTACCCCCTTAACCCCGCCATGTTGCATCTCCACTTCCTCATATCAGGGAAATCATATGATAGTTGTCATTCTCCGATTGACTTATTTTGCTAAGCATGATACCCTCTAGTTCCATCCACGTCGTCACAAATGGCAAGATTTCATTTCTTTTGATGGCTGCATAGTATTCCATTGTGTATATATACCACATCTTCTTTATCCATTCATCTGTTGATGGACATCTAGGTTCTTTCCATAGTTTGGCTATTGTAGACATTGATGCTATAAAGATTCGGGTGCACGTGCCCCTTCGGATCACTACCTTTGTATCTTTAGAGTAAATACCCAGTAGTGTGATGGCTGGGTCATAGGGTAGCTCTATTTTCAACTTTTTGAGGAACCTCCATGAAATGACATCTTTAAAGTGCTGGAAAAAATTCAGTCTAGAATTGTCCAATGATTTTTTTTTTAATACGCTGCTCACAAGAGACACTCTAAGAACACAGAAAGTCTAAAGACAGAAGGATGGAAAAGGCAACACCATGCAAACTGACACACATAGCCGGTGGTATTATGCTAATGCCAAAGATTTTAAGGTAAGAATAAAAAAAAGAGGCACATTTTATAAAGATCAAAGAGCCAATCCCGCAAAAACATCACAATCATAAATCTGTATGATCACAATAACGCACTTTCAAACTACAAAGTAAAACTTGACAGAATTAAGGTCTCCACGACAGTAAGGAAGGACTTTATTACACTTTCCTCAGTAGCTGACAGAACAAATAGGCAAAAAAGCAATAGCGATATAGAGGATCTGGACAATACAATGAACACATTTGATCTCATGCCAACAGAACGCGGCTCAGCCGCAAAATTCACATTATCTCAAGTACAACTAGAATTATCAAATTTCAAATGATTGACATCAAAGGGAGTATATTCATCTCAAAAAGACTGAGGAAGAAAGATATAAATCCTAAAGGAAGGAGGAGGAAGGAAAGAAGTGTAAGAGCGGAAATCTATGAATAAGACAACCAATGTCCTAGGAGATAAGTACAAATTATCAATATCATGCATGGAAAAAAGGACATCTCTACAGATCCTACGTACACAAAATACAATGAAAGGATATTATAAATTCACCAAAGAATTCGGCAATTTGGATAAGATGGAGAAGTTTCTCGGAAATAAAATTTGTGAAGGAAATGGATTTCCTGGATAAGCAAATATATATTCAAGAAATGGAGACTTTTCTTAACTACACTGGCAGACAGTGGTTCTTTTTGCTGCCCCCACACTTCCACGAATTTCAGGATATCATGGAGCTGGAACCATACAGTGACTACCCTTTTCAGATTGGCTCACCCACTGAGCAGTATGTATTTAATGTTCCTCCTTGTCTTTGCACGGCCTCACAGCTCCTTTCTTTTTGTTGCTGAATAATATCCCATTTTACTGATGTGCCCGGTTTGCTTCTTCAGTCGCAGACTGAGGACATCTTGATAGATACCAGTTTTTGGCAATTATGAATAAAGCTGATATAAACATTCATGGCTGGTCTTTGTGCCGATGTATATTTTCAGTTTGTTTGAGTAAATACCAAGGAGCACAATTGTTCCATCATATGTATATTTAGTTAAGAGGAAAAAAAAAAAAAAAAAGCCAAGCTCTTCTGAAGTGACTGCGCAACTTTTTCATTCTTATCAAATGAGTGAGAGTCCCTGTGGCTCCAACATCCTCATTAGCATTTGGTGGCATCGTGTTTTTTTGGATTTTATCTATTCTAATGGGTACGTAGTGATGATATCTCATTGTTGTTTTGATTTGCAAGTGCCTAGTAACTGCAAGGTTGAGTACCTTTTCGTGTGTTTTTCATGTGAATATCTTCTTTGGTGAGGTATCTCTTCAGATCTTTTGCCCATTTTTAAATTGGGTTGTTTTTCTTACTATTGAATTCTCAGAGCTCTTTGTGTATTCTGGATACCAGTCTTTTATCAGATACGTGTTTGACAAATATTTTCTCCTAATCTCTGGCTTGTCTTTTCATTCCTCTTAACAGTGATGCCTTTTTCAGAGCAAATGGTCTTAGTTTTAATGACGTCCAATTTATCCATTTGTTCTCCTCTGGACAGTCTGGAGCTTCCTCTGTCTGGTCTTTATCTGACAGGTGCACTGGTCTGTCATCATCCTCAGACCTTTCCCTGAGGTCCCTGACATCCAAGTCGTGCTTCCTCCAGGGGACCAGCTCTCCCACAATCCCTGGGGCAGGGGAATGCCTACATCCCCTTCAGTCTGCTCAAAGCAGAGGCATCAGAGCTGTTTCCAGCCCCTTCGCAGAGGTGTGTGTGGACCCCACCTGCCTGGTTCTTGCCCAGGGTTTCGGGCTCCCCTCCCCCACTCTCACAACCACCACCCTCTCCAGCACTGGGATCCAGCACTGTTGTCCTAGGGGTGGCGGGTGGGGTGGGGGCTTCTCCCTATTTTCCCCATCCCTGAATCCCTCTATTTCTTCAGGCCTGTCATCATGGTAAAGGAAGCTGGCTATTCTGGCAGAGGCTGTCCTCCCCCACCCTCTGGGGACAGAGACAGGCAGGTGGCAGACTGTCCCTACCTGTGCCACTTTCTCTCTGTTCCTTGCAGCAGGCACACGAGCGTTCCAGCTCAGACACAGTCCCTTATCTTGGTCTGCTCAGGCTGCCATCACGCATGCCATAGAGCGGGCAAACAACGGGTGTTTATTTCTCACAGTCCAGAGGCTGGGACATCCGAGATGAAGGTGCTGTCAGATTCTGCTTCTGGTGCAATCCCCCTTCCTGCCTTGCAGATGGTCACCTTCTCACTGTGTCTTCATGTGGTGGAGAGAAGGCAGCCCTAGCATCTCTTCCTCTTCTTAGGAGGCAGGGTTGGGGGCTCTACCCCCATGACGTCATCCAGACCCAATTACCTCCCCAAGACCCCACTCCTAATTACTGTCACCCTGGAGGGGCAGCATAGGAATTAGGGGTGGACCCAAACACCCAGTCCATAACACTCCACAACTCTCAGTGGTCGCTGGAAAAACGGCTGGGGCCACACCGATCACCTGCACGTGGTGGGCCTCTCTGCACAGGGCGAGGTGCCCGTTGGAGGAATCTTAGAAACGCAGGGCTCGGAAGGCCGAGCCTCCTAGTCATTGTAACCTGATCAGAAAAATCTCCACTGAAAGTCAAGCTAGCACAAGATGAGATGTTAGCAAATATTTTACAGCGCTTACTGCCATGTGCCAAGCACTGCCCACGAGCTTTACATACCTCTGTTATCACGCTCATGACTCCCAACAGCCCCATGGGGTGGGTACTATTAAGCCCATTTTACAGATGAGGAAACAGAGACACTAAGGAACTTGCCCAAGGTCACAGGGACAGCGGAAAGGAGAACACGGGATTCAAGCCCACATCGCTGAGTCCGAGTCCCGGCTCTTAACCACTCAGCTAGGCTGTTCCCTCAAGCCA